TAAACAAATATAATAATCTGGGTTAATATCTAAAATATATAAGGACCTCAAACAACTGAGTAGCAAGAAAACAAATAATCTAATTGAAAAAATGGGCAAAAGACCTGAATAGACATTTCTTAAATATGCAACAGGTATTTAAAGAAATGCTCAAGGTCACTAGTCATCAGGGAAATGCAAATCAAAACCACAATGAGATACTTTACACCTATTAGAATGGCTATGATAAAAAACTTAAGTGTTGACAAGGATGTGGAGAAAAGGGAAAGTTTTACACCATGGGAAAGTAAATTAGCACAGCCATTAGGGAAAACAGTGTGGAGATTCCTCAAGAAAATTAAAAATAGAACTCTCATATGATCCAGCAATCCCATTTCGGAATGCATATCCAAAGAATGTGAAATAGTACGTTGAAGAGACATCTGTATTCCTACATTCATTGCAGCATTATTCAGGATAGCCAAGATATGGAATCCATCTACGTGGTAATCAATGGATGAATGGATAAAGAAAATGTGGTATATATATATATGCAATGCTATACTATCCAGCCTTGAAAAAGAAGGAAATCCTGTCATATGTGACAATATGGATGAAGCTGAAGGACATTATGCTAAGTGAAATAAATCAGGCACAGAAAGACAAATACTACGTGATCTCACTTATGTATGGAATCTAAAAAAGTGAAACTCATAGAAACAGAGAGTAGTTGACAGGGGCTGAGGGAGAGAGGGGAGAAGTTGGTCCAAGGGTACAAAGTTTCACTTAGACAGGATGAAAAAGTTCTGAAGAGCTCTTGTACAGTATGGTGACTATAGTTAATAGTATTGTATTGTGTACCTGAAATTTGCTGAGAGTAGATCTTAAATGTTAACACACACGAAAATGATTCACTATGTGAGGTGATGGATATGTTACACAAATTAACTTAATTGTAGTAATCATTTCACAATGTATACATACATTAAATATCATGTATTACATAAATATATACAACTTTGTCAATTATACTTCAATAAAACTGGAAAAAATAAGTAAAAGATTTTTCACATACACATAAAAAAACTAAATCTGTTAAATTTTTACATCATCAAAACTTACATTAGCTTTGAGGACTATTATTAGTACCAACTAGTGAGCAATGTTTTAGCACATTATAATAAAATCGGTTATGCATATCTGATCTGAGTACTTAAGCAAGAAAAACTTCTGAAATTTTTCATTTTAATAATATGTGAAACAACTTAGGTTGTGGTGACTGGAGACAATTATTTAGATAATTTAGGATTAAAAACATTTCCACCAGAAATATATGAAGGAATTAAGGCAGTCTAGGGGACTGAAATGTTTAAATTATTTTGTCTCCACTCTTTATTTCACCGCGGATAGCAAAGTTTAAGAGCAAAAATTATCTAAAGACAGCATTTTTGACAGAAAATGGGCTTTATTTGAAATTGAATAAAACTTTCTTTTAATCAAAATGTCTTGGAATCGTGCTTGCTTTTCAAGATGTTTTGAAAGATGCTGAACTCAAAATTCAATTTTGATTATTGATTTGAATGTTTTTATCATTGTCACGTTAGAATATCAATTTTCTTGCTGTTCTCCAAAATATTTTTAAAACCTGTTACAAGAGGAGTGAATAGACTTTTAAAAAAACCACTCGTCTTCCAAGCAATGGAAGAGTCGGTGACACGTCCCTTCTTTTAGGGCCCCCTCTCTGCCTGCCGCACCCATTCCCGGTTGAGAGGGCTTGGTCCACGCTCCAGCTCGGGCTGAGGAGCGATAGCTGCGCGCTGCTGCTCTCGCCCAGGGCGCGATCTCGCTCTTCCGCACGACCCGCCGCTCCCGCCGCGTGCTCCGCGGGGTCTCTCGGGGCTGGCGCCAGGGGTGTGGGGGTGGAGCTGAGCGCAGCCCGGCCGGGTCGCTGGCCGATTGGCGTCAAGATCTGCTGTCGCGTCCCCGGCGCCCGGGACCTTGAGTGGCCTTTGGACCCCAGGGAGGGAGGGTGTGGAAGTTCGAGTCCAGAGGGGCCGTTTAGGTGGGTGGGAAAGGGAGCTGTGTGTGGCGGGTTCTTCCCTGCGCAGGCGGCTCTGAGGGAGAGTGTGTGTGGTGAGGGGGACGCTGGCGGGCCCTGTCCCTCAGAACCATCGCGGCCGCGTTCTGGGGGCCTCTCTCGCCTCATCCCGCGGGTTGGGATCCGACCCCGGAGCTACGGGCACGGCTGCGGGGAGGAGTGTTGCGGACTGAGGCGAGCCGCGCTTGTGTGGTCGGCCTCGGGCGAGGGGGAGCGAGTAGGCAGGGCGGGCGGGTGGTCGCCGGCGAGCGAATTTCCCTCTGTCAAACGCGCGGGCAGGGGCTCCTCAGATCTCCGGGGAATGGCAGATACGAACTCCGCCTCAGGCGTATTTTGTAATGCGAGTTGGCAGTCCTGTGAAAACTTCCACTTTTTAGATTCTTGGTGGTGAATTCGTAAATTTAAAATTACACCGTTCCTCTAGGTTTTACCTTGCTGTTGGGGAAGGACTTTCTTTAGGACTCTTACTACATGTAGTAGTGCACACGCCAAGAAGGGACGTATTCAGAGATTTATTTCAAAGGGAGATGCTTTTGAGAAATCTCGGAGTCTGTAGACCCCAGAAGATTGACCTAGTGCAATACCACGTATAAACAATTATGCAGGCGCCCCTCTTCCCTGAAGTTTGAGTCTTGCAGTGGCGTGCGACAACTGTTTATTGCGTGCCTGTTAGGCTGGGCTAGGAATGTAGCTGTGTGCTAAAAGGGCCCCTCTCCTCCCGCGTTCTTGCTCTACCCATATTTTTCTGTGAAGAATGCTGTATTTAAAAGGTTGTTACAGAATATTTGCCGTTTTGCGTATGACTTTAGAAAAATCTTATAATTTTTTTTTTTTCCTTTTGACATAGTAGCCAACATGAGTGACAGCTTATTTGTCAGTTTGGACAGACTTTTGCTAGAATTTGGTAGGTATAGAATGAAAATAAAGAAATAAATATTTGTATTATCATTTGACATTTTAAAAATGAAATCACAAAAGCATTGTTTATTTTAGTTTTCCAGTATGAGCAAGATATAAGTACTAAAGAAGATATTATTCAAAGAATTAATAGTAAGTAGTTTTATATGATAAAGATATTTTAGTCTTTTTGGGTTTTTTTTGGAATATAAGATAATATACAATTGTCCTGTTTAGGGCAATTTACAGTTGGCATTATAAATTTTGTGCCATTTCTCTCTAGGGACTAATAATGAGCTAGGCAAAACAGTTGTGACTTAACTATAATTTTTTGATAATAAATTTCTATATTCAGAATTTAATTATTTTGTGAAGAATTTTGCTTTAAGTAACCCCTTAAGTACAATTGAAAAGATGCTATTTTTCTCAAACATAGGTTGTTTCAAATATTTGAGTGAAAATTTTTAAATCTTTATAGAAATTACCAAAAATCAGGGCTAACAACTGATGGATGCCACATTTTCAGAGAGAAATGGCAAAGCAAATTAGACAAATACTGTATTTTAAGATCCTACACAAAAACTGTAAAAAATAGAGCTATTAATTTCTTAATAGTTCTGTAAAGGTAGAGTTTGGTTATCTTTCCTTCAATCAAAAAAGAATACAGGGAATTAAGAATTTACTTTAATCTTTGAAGAAATTATATAATTTCATTTTTTATCTTGTATTTAATCACTAGTAACAAGTGAGTCAAAGGTGCAGTTAATAATAAATTGACATGGAATTGATGAATAGAAATCTCACGTTTGTCAAAAACCCCAGTTTTATGTTAGTGTCTTAAATGGGTAAATATTTACATGATTCCTAGCATCATAAGATGTGATTGACCTTAGATGTCACATAATCTAGCTCTCTTATGTTAAAAGTGAGATACAGGGGACATTTATTTCTCTTCAATCCCAAACACAAATCCTTCTTAGCTTCTATGTCTAGGAGTGGGCCTGGCCCTGGTTCTCTGCTTTTTAGTATAGGGCTCTATCCATCTCAAGCCTCGCTTCCTCTCTGTTCTCTGGCTCGTCTCTTTTTAGGTAAGTTGCCATACCCCTGTTTTTCTAGTGTATTTGTTTTAAATTTATGATTTCTACCTTAAGAACATAAACATTTCCTTTTTCTAGAATGCTTTGAAGATATTAAAGAAACCAGAGTAACTATTTGTAAGATGCATGAAACTATAAATACAACAGATGAGGAAATTGGTCATTACTATAAACGTAGTGAGGAGATCAAAGACAGCTGTAGTAAGTGAGTATTTGAAAGAAATGAACTTTCAATAATTGTCATTAGATTACTTTATTTAAAGTTTCTGAGATTATAGTTGAAGATGCTGTTGCTTTAAAGTAGTATTCTATGTTGAGAAAATAATGAATCAAGTCTTAAATTGCCTTGTTACATGCCACCCTGGAAAGGGATCACAAGAGATTCAAAAGAAAAATAGAAGTAAGGTCTGTAATATCTCACTAATTAAGTATCTCACTAATTCAACTTCAATTAGTCTAAATACAGAATTATGAATAATCTAAGCTCAGTATATAAAATTTCTATTAGATAAATTAGAAATAATTTCCATCTTTGAATTTTCAAGATCTTATTTTTGTGTAGGGGAGTACAGCCTAAAATTTTTCAGAATAAAAGTATTCCATATTTTAAGAATTCGTACAACAAGACTTCGAGTTTTGGATTCTAGTAGTTAAATCTGGTACAAGGTAAACATTTTGAAACAAAGATGTGAATAGAACTTTATCATATATTACAAATACTTATTAAAAATGTTGGTTTTCTGTACTTAATTTTATGTGGACCATTGTCTTTGTATTAAGTACTATACTTAGAATCATATTTGTTTTGAAATATTTTGTTATCCAAAAATTTTAATAAGCCTTTTTGGTTTTTTCCATTACTTTTTTCCCTACTGGTTTTAAGAAATTATAAAAGTAACATATACCCAATAGAAAAATTCAAACAATATATACATGTATGATATAAAAAGTTTCTCCCTGCCTGCAGTTCACATCCCCTGCCTTGTCCTGTTCCACATAGGTAATCACTCTTAACAGTTGTATCCTTTTAGACCCTGAATATTTGACATCATTATTACGCACACACACACATCCTCAATATAGCTATCTTTCTTTTGCACAAAAATGAGATTATACCATTCTGCAACTTGTTTTTTAAATTTAACAATATGTGATACAAATTGTATTATACATGTAATTATGTATAGATTTCATTCTTTTGCCCAGCTCCATAGCATTTTATAGTGTTGATGGATTATCTTAAGTTATTTAACCATTCTCCTATTAATGAACATTTAGGTTGTTTCCATTTTTCCCTATTATAAACAGCGTATACAGATATCCTTCCATATGTATAGATGTATTGCTCTAGAATAGATCCCTAGAAGTAAAATTGCTAGATTAAAGAGTATGTGCATTAAAACATTTGACAGATAATAGATAATACCAAACTGCTCTCTAAAAAGATTATACTAATTTATACTCCCATCAACAATGTATGAGGAAAAATTTTTTCTTTATACAATAACACATTGATTATTATAAAGAATATTACTTTTATAAATAGAATATGAATTATTAAAAATGTAAGAGAGTTTCTATTCTCTCATACCCTTGCCAACACTGGAATTATCAAAGTTTAAATATTTGGGCAATCTGATCAACAAAATATTATATACTGTTGAGCTTTTATTTTGATTTATGTTTTATTATAGTAGGTTTTACCAGTGGTTTTCCTTAATTAGCTGCATTGGGTGCCAGAAAAGTACTGGTAGTTTCCCCTTAGAACCTACCATGTCGTAAATAAACTGTACTTTGTACAAGCTTAATCTCTGCTGTGGTCCGAGGAGAGTTAGTAGGATCTGTTCCTTTTAATGTTTAAATTCATGAATGCCTCTGGTTCATGATTTCAGCATGCTGGTTAAGAGACTTAAATGTGAAATATGAATACATTAAAGCACTAGAAAAATATAGGTGACTATGTAATCTTTGAGAGACTTTGTAATCTTTCTAAGTATGTCACCAGAGTCAGAAACCACATAGTAATTGATTGATAAATATGACTACATACAAATTAAAATGAAAAACAGCCCATAATGATATGAAAGACAAAAGAATAAACTAGGAAAAAGTCAAATAAATGTTGATTTTTAAAAAATATAAAGTACTTGTGGAAATTAATAAGAAAAAGAAAAAGCTCCATTAGAAAAATGAGCAAAGAAGGTAAACAGGCACATACTAAAATGAAGAAATACATAAGTCTAAAAAACAGGTGAACAAATGCTCAATCATACTACTAATAATATCTAAATTAAAACAATAATTAAATGTTATTTTTTTGCCTTTAAGTTTTGCAGAGATTTAAAGAAAAGTAACACCTACTCTTTTGGCCAGGATATAGGAAAATCAACTCTCTCATACACTGTAGGAGTGTATACTGGGATAAATCTCTTGGATGACATACACGTTTTTAAAAGGCTTTAAAAATTAAGCATGACTTTTGATTATATAGTTCCATTTCTGAGAATTTTTTATAAGGAAATAATTCGGGATTCTCTCAGAGATGAGAGAATGTACAATACAACCTTGTTGTACAAGGTTTCAACCTTTCTTTCCCTAGCACTACATTTTAAAAATTTATTTTTAATTGACAAATAGTAATTTTTTATTTTTATGGGTTCCAGTATGATGTTTTGATCTATGTATACATTGTGGAAAGACTCAGTTGAGCTAATTAACATATCTATCACTTCACCAACTTTCCATCTTTTTGTGGTGAGAACATTAAAAAGCTATTCTTTTAGCACTTTTGAAACATATAACACATTATTATTAATTGTGGTCAGTAGACCACAATAGACCACTAAAACTTATTACTTCATTCTGACTGAAACTTTGTATCCTTTGATTAACATCTTCCTTTTTCCTGTCCCCGCCCATCCCCAGCATCTAGTAACCACTTTTTTATTCTCTGTTTCTATGAGATCAATGTCTTTAGATTCCACATGTAAGTGAGATCATATCAGTATTTGTCTTTCTGCACCTGGCTTATTTCACTTAGCATAATGTCCTACAGTTCCATCCATGTTGTCTCAAATGATGGAATTTCCTTCTTTTTTAAGGCTGTATAGTATTCCATTGTATGTATATACCACATTTTGTATATCCATTCATCTGTTGACGGACACTTAGGTTGCTTCCATTTCTTGGCTATTGTGAATAATGCTGAAATGAACATGGGAATGCAGATATCTCTTTGATATGCTGATTTCAATTCCTTTGGAATTGAAAAGAAGTGGGATGGCTTGATCATATGTAATCCTATTTTTAGCTTTTTGAGGAACCTCCATACTACTTTCCAAAATGGCTATATTAATTTACATTCCCACAAATAGTATGCAAGAGTTCCCTTTCCTCCACATCCTCACCAATACTTGTTATTATTCGACTTTTTGATAATAGCCACTCTAACAGATGTAAGGTGATACCTCATTTTGGTTTGAATTTGAATTTCCCTGATGATTAGAGATATTGAGCATTTTTTCATATATCTCTTGGCCATTTGTATCTCTTTTGAGAAATGTCTTTTCAGATCCTTTGCCCATTTTTAAATTGGGTTATTTGGGTTTTTTGCTTTTGAGTTGTTTGAGTTCTGTTTCAACCTTTTTTTTATGATAAGAAAACATTGGAAGCAACTCTTCCATAACTTTCAACATTATGGAATTGGTTAAATAAATTTTGGTATATCCATATGAATGAACACTAGGCAGTCAATAAAATTATGATACAGGTGTTAATTTATTGACATGGAACGATGTTAACAATATATTACAAATTGAACAAAGAAGATTATAAAACAATATTCATAGTATGAACCCAATTTATTAATTGTACATTTATATAATTAGAAAAAGTCTAGAAGGATGTACATCTAAATGCTTATAGCAAACATCTTCTCAGTGAGCATATATTTTTAATGCGATTTTTAAGTACTGAGAATGTATATATGTGTAACCTTTGACTTTCTAAAGCCATTTTTGAGAATATTTTCTAAGGAAATGATCAGAAATTCAGGCTAATATTTAACTGCAAGTTCTGTTCAGTAAGAAATAAAGGAATATACATTGTTACATGTCAAGATGATCTCAATGATGTTAAAATAAATAATTATAGTAAAATCTGGAAACAATTTATTAAAATAATAATAGTAGTTATTATTCAATGTTGAGAATTTAGATGATAGTTATTTTCTTACGTATACTTTTCTATGCTTCCAAAGTGGGCATGTATACTTTTTGAATCTGAAAAAATAAAAAAAGATTATAAAAAAGAAAAAATATTCAAACAATACTTAGAATGGAAGCTGCTATGATATATACTTATTTTATATTTTTTATATTGATAATACCTTTTCTGGTTATATAATAAAACATGTAGAAGATGAATATTCATTTTATTCTTACTGTCTGATTTTATAATTCATTTTGGCCTAGTTTCTTTCTTTCTAGCTCAGAATAGTATAACGCCTATTTTTCTAAGTATCTAAGGAGAAAAAAAGCCTCTCGTTAGCCCTTATCCTGGCTCTTTGAATGCTTACTGCAAAAGAATTTTTTGGCCAAGATCTTACAAATATGATGAGAAAGAAAGGCTGATGTTGTGGAGTGTTCTGAGTATATAATAGGAATGTCATAGCAATACATAATCCAGCCATGCCATGTTTGTTCCTTCCCTAGTCATGGTTCACAAACAGGTTCGATGTAAGAATTCATGAATATTGATATTAGAGCATATGAGTACATGAATGGAGGTAGTGGTGGTGATGGGAGATGGGAATATTTTTCTTAATGTAAGCTTGTTTTCTCCAGGAAGGGAAAGATTCGCTTCTCTTTAAATGATTACATTCATTTTTTATTATCTCTATCAATTTGTTTATCATTCTGAGGTGCTAATTATAAATACAACTTTTTTTATAGCTGGAAGCCAACATGTGATGTTTTTCATAAGCATGAAGATTATATGCAGGACCAATTTACTGTTTATCAAGAAACTATTGAAAAAGACAAGTACAGTACATATATTAATTTAAACTTATCAATTCTATAAGTAGTATTACTAGAGCACGCTTTGTAAGAATCTTAATCGAAATATGTAGAAATTTGGTACTTTGAGGGAATTTTTTTAAAGTAAATGTAGTATTTTGGACTCCCTGGGTACAGCTGGAGGTCTGCTGATTTGTTATAAAACTCTATCTAACCCTGGATATGTTTAGATATGGCCTTAGATATAAATTATTTCTCAATACCAGTTATTATAGCAGAATCCTTCAATTAATGATCTTTATGACTGAACTGTTATAGGCAAACACTAGGATAATAGTTACTTGTAGAATTAGTTTATGAAAAACTTAGGATGCTGATTTTTGAAGGGTACTTTATGTCAAACTTCTGTTTTTTAGCCTGCTTATTTAGTGAGGTGGCTATATTCTAATGGAGAAACACCAATACTTGTGTGAATTTATTTTATTATGTGTATAAGCACATTGTCTTGGAGATTAAGTGTAAATACTGAATGTAAGGAAACAAGGCAAGAGACTTTGAACACATATGTAGCATTAAAATTTCACCCAATTTAAAAAATTGAAAAATTTTTTTATTTTTTTGAGACAGAGACTACTTCTGTCACCCAGGCTAGAGTGCAGTGGCATTGTCACAGCTTAGTGCAACCTCGAACTCCTGGGCTCAAGCGATCCTCCTGCCTCAGCCTCCTGAGTAGCTGGGACTACAGGCACATGCCACCACAACAGACTAATTTTTTTTTCTATTTTTAGTAGAGATGGGATCTTGCTCTTGCTTAGGCTAGTCACAAACTCCTGACCTCAAGCAATCCTCCCACCTCGCCCTCCCAGAGTGCTAGGATTATAGGTGTGAGCCACCATGCCCAGCTGAAATATTTTCATTTTTGACATAATTGGATGAGAGCAGTGTCTATTTTTATATTTTAATTAAAAACACGTGTAAAATTTAGAATGCAATGCCCATTATATTCAAAGATAAGTCTTCAGAGAAAGTAGAAACTAAAGTTATAGATTTAGACTTCATGGCATTTGAAATCATGGAAATAGATGAGAATGCTCAGGGAAATATATGGAGCAAAAAAGAGGAGAAAGCTAGAGTACACTGTCATTCAGAGAGTAGGCAGAGGGTGGAATTTACGTTGTTATTTATAGACCCTGCCTCATTTCAAAAAGGATTTAGATGATTTGTATAAATAATACCATAGCATTAAAAAACTAGATTAAACATCAAGACTACAGGGAAGTAAGGATAATATAGGAAGATGAAGGCTTTGGTCAAGTTAGAAATTCATTCTCTGTGGTCCTGCACACTTGTTAGATACAGACACAAATTAAGCTTTGAAATTCCTAGTAATCAAGGCATTGTGGAAATATGATCAGTCTGAGATTCAGAGTGTTTGTTTAAAAACAGTTCAATTGCTTGGGATAAGTAGACGTTTTTCCTGAGGCCTGAGAGAAATTTCTCCCCTGGGTCCTCATAAAAGGGAAATTGTGGTAGTCAGTATCTTTAGTGACCCTCCCCGCCAAAACCCAGTGTATATAACTGCTTCTTATAACATCTCTCAATGTAAATCATGGCCATAAAACATTAATTCTTAAAAATGATTGAGAAGTTAAAGGAAACCAGTCCAAATATGTACCTCTCTGATAGTATTTGTTGCAGATGACTTCTCTGAGCTAACCAGAGCTATGAAAGTGAAAACAGCTATTTCTTTCTTAAACTAGCCACATAGGTTAACTGAATTGATGATTCAATACTAGGCATTTATAAAAAGAAAAGAATCCATTTATTGATATCATGGAGTAATGGAGGAAGTAGAGGCACCAGCTCCTTGTTTCTCTTAATCTCCCATCCCTGACCCAGGCATTCATGAAGAATAATATAGCTGGCAACAGATGAAATAATAATGGTGGGAGTGGGAGTTAAATTGAAGAGGATTAAGGAGTGAACAACTCAGGTGATGAAAACAATAGAGTTGAGAAGTGTGGTGGAGTTAAGGAAAATATGAAGGGCAAACAATATTGAGGGAAGCAGGGATAAGTAGATATTTGATTTGCCTTTTATGCTTAATTTAGTAGAGTTTAACAAGTGATATTTACAAAGCCTTTAAATCTATTCTTGTTATATAGACATCATCTTTTTAAATTTTAACAGAAAAATGTATCATGGCTATATATGTCAGTATAAAGATGTTTTGAAGCAATACCAACTAAAATACTCAGAAACACCCTTTTCACGTGAATATTATGAGAAGAAAAGAGAACATGAAGAAATTCAAAACAGAGTGTTGGCATGTACTGAGCAACTAAAAATGAATGAAACTATTTTTATGAAATTTCTAGGTATTAACCTTTTTTGTTATATATTGTTTTAATTATAGTTTCTTTGTAATGAAAAGAATATAATAACTCAGTCTAAACTATGACTTTGTTTTTCAGTGCCTGCTCCCTTTCCATCACTTACTAAATGGACATTACACATGTATCCACAATAGTATTTCTACTTATAATTTTTCATAGATAAGTATTATTTTTGTATTTTAATAGTTATTGTATTTCTTTCATGAGAATCACAAATCAAAATCTGATCAAAAGTCATGGATATGTTTTTGTGTTTAATTCAATGATTTTAGAGGTCACTTTAAAGGTCATCTGGGACTAGTTTTCATATATGTGCATGTGATCAGAAGCAAGTAATTTTAGTGAGAACAAAATGGTATATGTATCTGGCTTTAAAGTGGCATATCTTAGGAACCAAACCAATGAAAACATCATCTTGCTTTGTCTTACCAAAGTTAATTCCAATTAAATTGATTATTACTTGTTAGATTGGAAGGCAGTAAGGAGTTGAGTCACAATTATTCATTTATCTGTGGAAATTCATTGGGAACCTACCTTGTTCCAGGCGGTACTGAAGAAGATACAGAGCTTTCTTATAAGGAGCTCACAGTTTAGTAAGGAAGACAGACATGTGAATAAATAATTCTAATACATTACCACTGTAATAGATGCTTAAGTAATTCTTAATTGGTCTAAGTCTCACCTGTTTGTTAGAGAGATCTTCCCTGATGATGAAGTTGAAACTTTAATCCTCTTTCAATCTCCACAATCCTTCATATGCTTTCCTATCAGATTATAACTCCACTGTTTGTACTAAGTCTTCTTTATCCCTGCATTCTACCTTGCTTCCTGTCTGCTTCATCCTAAAGCATCCTTTTAATTCCTCAGCGTATTGCTCCCTCCATGTTTTGTTTTTAGCCTATTCTATTTTTAGTTGTTCATTTCCTGCCCTTCTGTGCTTTAACTCCTCAGTGGGAAGTGAAAGAGGCTGGTAGATGCTGAAGGTACAGCAAGGGTTTAGGGAGTTGGATGTGGGATGGAATGAGATGTAAGTTTTCATGACAGACAAGAAGAGGTCAATGGAAATAGGAAGAATTGAAGAGTAAGATTTAAATACCTACATCTAACATTTTAAACTGAAACTTTTGAAAACAACATAACCTTAAAACCCCTGACATTTTGTGTTGTAGCATATAAGTTATATATTTTTAAGGCAGAATAGGAAAAGTCCGATAAATTTTCTCTGGAGTTCTAGTTCAATGTCACTATTCTATTTATGTTTAAAGTCTCCTAAATGGATTATAGAGTAGTTTAGGAAATTGTATTAGCTAATAACAATTAAGGATGTTTACTAAGAGCTGAAAATCCTTACTTGAAATTGGTCATAAATCCAGTTCAGGCAGAAAGTTCAGAGGGAAGATCTACTTCTCTTCTGAGTTCTGCAGGGTGCGCTGATGAGTCTTACAGAGCAAGAAAAGGAAATTGGGTAGATTTTTAATGTCGGCTTTGGAACAAATAAATAATGGAAGTGTAAGAAATTAAATTTGGACCTGAATCGATTATGTTTTAATAGTCGTGCCAAATGACATAATGAATTTGGGCAAAACAAACAAAATATTTAACTGAAAGAAAAAGTTCTAACAAATATTTTGGATGAAATGTTATTTTTAAGCTCAATATATAGCATAGATAAATAATAAATTATCTTTGTTAGCCTTCCAAATGTTTATGTAATTCTTACTTCTGTTTTCAGATACTGTTTTTAATATTGCTTATTGTTTATATGGAACATACATATAAATAATGTCATAGAATATTAATTATTTCTGGTATAAGTATATTATAAATGTAAAATATACTTGCATGACATAGTTCCTTAACAGAAAAAGGGTTAATCTGAGATGTAAAACACAAGACATTCTGAAACATGCTAGCAATTTTACCAGAAGTTCCTCTGAATTGAAGAAAGAAGTAGATGAAAAGGAAATAGAAATTAATTATTTAAACCAGGTATATATTTTGTTATATATTTACAATTTATGTATTAATGTGTAAGTATAATGGTATGTTGGTTGTCAGTCTTAGAAGAGCTATTTTTAAGAAAGCCTAAATATGGGGAAAGGCTTGAGACAATTTATTTGCCTTAGAGTACCTTTGGAGCCAAAATGTCTTTTAGGTACTGAATGTATTCAACTTTGAGTTTGGGGGAATAGTTTAGCTTTCTTTGAGGTGTGAGGAATGAAGATGAAGAAAGAACAAGATGTAGCTTAATAACAGGAATTTAAAGGTATTAAAGAGCTACACCAATGTTTTTAAAAAAGGGAATAAGACAGTAAACAGCTTAAAGAATTTAATCTTGAAAAATTTGTGACCATAGTTTATAATCCTTAGAGAGCTAGGCTAGAACTAGTTTAGCCTTTTGAGATTTTCTTAAATACATTTTTAATGTCATTTATGGGAATTATGGCTTTTATTCACATGGGTATGAGGACCCATTAAAGTCAATTCCAAATTTTGAGAAAAAATTGAATATAATACTTAATTTTCTAAATTTTTAAAAAATTCTGTTAAATATTGTATATTTATCATTCATAGGTATACATTGCCAAATAATATTAATATAATGTTACTAATGAGAAGAAAGTGGATGCCATTTCTTTTAAAATATTTGGTAACTATATCCCTATGGAAATAATCAATGTCTACTTTGCTTATGACTGTACTTATTTAAAAAGACAGGAGTTTGGGACTGGGCGTGGTGGCTCACGCCTGTAATCCTAGCACTCTAGGAGGCCAAGGCAGGAGGATTGCTTGAACTCAGGAGTTCGAGACCAGCCTGAGCAAGAGTGAGACCCCATCTCTACTAAAAATAGAAAGAAATTAATAGGACAACTAAAAATATATAGAAAAAATTAGCCGGGCATGGTGGCGCATGCCTGTAGTCCCAGCTACTCGGGAGGCTGGGAGTTTGAGGTTGCTGTGAGCTAGGCTGACGCCACGGCACTCTAGCCCAGGCAAGAGAGTGAGACTTTGTCTCAAAAAAAAAAAAAAAAAAAAGACAGGAGTTCATTGAAATCTACCTTTGCTAATGGAGTTGTAAGGAAAAGTTAAAGGGTTGTGATTTATTGTTTTTGCTTTTCTTTAATTTCAAAATATTAAGGGGGCACAAATGTTTTTGCTACGTGGAACACTTTTGTAATGCTTGAGTCAGGGCTATAAGTATGCCCATCACCCAAATAATGTTCATTGTACCTGTTAGGTAGATTTTTTTCCCCCTCCTCTCCTCCCTGCTGCTTGATTTCCAATGACTTTTACTTCCCTCTATGCACATGTTTGCCCATTGGTTAGTTCCAATTTATTAGAGAGTACATGTGGTGTTTGTTTTTCCATTCTTGAGATACTTAGCTTAGGATAATGGTCTCTAATTCCTTCTAAATTGCTGCAAAATTCATTCATTTTTATGGCTGAGTAGTACTCCATGGTATACATATACCACATTTTGTTAATCTGCTTGTGAATTGATGGGCACTTGTGTTGATTCCAGATATTTCCAACTGTGAATTGTGCTGCAATAAACATTTGAATGCAGGTGTCCTTTTGATAAAATGACTTCTTTTCTTCTGAGTATATACCCAGTAGTGGAATTGCTTGATTCAATGGTAGGTCTACTTTTAGTTCTTAGAGAAATCTCCATGCTGTTTTTGATAGAGGTTGTACTAATTTGCAGTCCCACCAACAGTGTATAAGGGTTCCTTTCTCTCTACATCACACCAGCATCTATTGTTTTTGGACTTTTTAATAAAAGCCATTCTAACAGGAGTAAGATGATATCTCATTGTGGTTTTAATTGGCGTTTCCCTGATGAATAGTGATGTTGAACACTTTCGTATGTTTCTTGGCCATTTGTCTGTCTTCTTTCGAGAAGCATCTGTTCATGTATTTTCCCCACTTTTTAGTGGGGTTGTTTTTTTCTTGCTGATTTGTTTGAGTTCTTTGTAGATTCTGGATATTAGCCCTTTATCGGATGAGTAGTTTGTGAATATTTTCTCCCATTCTGTAGGTTGTCAGTAATTTGTTGATTATTTCCTTGGCTGGCTGTGGAGAAGCTTTTAAATTTAATCAAGTCCCATTTATTTATTTTTGTTGTTGCTGTAATTGCCATTGGTGTGTTAGTCATAAATTCTTTGCCTAGGCTGATATCTAGAAGAGTTTTCCCTATATTTTCTTCTAGAATTCTTATGGTTTCATGCCTTACATTTAAGTCTTTTATCCATCTCAAATTAATTTTTGTGAGTGGTGAGAGATAAGGGTCCTGTGTCATTCTTCTGTGTGTGGCTATCCAATTTTCCCAGCACCATTTATGGAATAGGGCTTCTTTACCCCAGTGTGCATTGTTGTCTGCTTTGTCAAAAATCAGTTGGCTGTAGGTAGATGGTTTTATATCTGGATTCTGTATTCTGTTCCATTGGTGTATGTCTCTGTTTTTGTATGAATACCATGATGTTTTAGTTATTGTAGCCTTGTAGTATAGTTTGAAGTCTGGTGGTGTGATGCCTCCAGATTTGTTCTTGATTTATTGTTAATTTTGACCCTGTTTCATCAACTCCCAATAAAAGATAGTGAATACTACCAGAAATATAAATCTTGTGATTATATGGAAAAAAATCATATTCATTAGTTGAGATAAAATGTATGTTTCTTACTATTTTGCAGGTAATTATTTTGTTTTATTCTCCCATTTTTCTATTTAGCAGATTGCAAGACTTTATGAAACTAAGAATCTTTCAGAAACTCTGGAAGAAAAGAACAAAAATACAGAAAAGAGAAAAGAATTGAAAGAAAGGTATAGGTAAATTTTAAAATTGGCCTTTATGTGAACAGATATTCTGCATCTAAAAGTTTGATTCTGTAGTCTATCCCAAGCCACTAATATTTGCATAGTATCTATATAATTTTTGGGGGAGGCTATTTTCTATTAATTTCTTATGAAAAATATTAATTTCAATATTATGAGCTAATACTCCAATCAGCTTGTTTTTCAGTAAGGCCAAGTATAATGTGTAGAGAGAAATAAGGTAGCAGCAGCACATCTGCTGTTCTATAACCTGTCAGTTGTATAATTTATCCAATTTCCCATGATGGGTTAGCAGTAGGAGTAAAACAGAAGAAACAATGGTAGGAACAGCAATGTATTTACTTTTTTTATTACCCTGTCACCAGCTTGACCAGTTCTTCTTTGCTGCAGAGAGTGAAGATCAGTCAAAGCATGCTATTAAATCTGTGGCATCATATTTCCTTTTGTTTTCTTGGTGATGTTCTAATGGTGATGAAATGGACATCAGTGGTGGAGGCATAAAAAAAGATTGATATCACCTATTATTGTGCGACAGAAAAATAGTTTATTACTATTGCTGTTTCTGATCAACTTTACTTATACCCTTTCTCATTCTTCTTAAATTCCTTTGCTCAGTCTCCACAGGCCTTCTCCTGGTTTTTCAACACTCTCCTCTCCCAAGTTAATTTCTGTGATCCTACTTCCTTAGATCTGTTATTTTCTTGATTCCCTCATTCCCACATATCACATCCATGGCAGTATATCTTTAATTTTATAGTGAAGTTAATTGAAAAAAAACTATATAAATGTATAGAATTTTACTTTAATGATGATTTTGTAATATAAAATTCTGTATATTGAGAGAAACTTACATAAATTTTTAGTCATTTTTTACGCAATATATATTTTGATAGTGTATATTCTATTTTTTTGATTTAGGTAAAATTCAATGAAACTATTCTTCCACTAAAAAACTTAAAAGGCCTATTTATGATTTTAATACTGCTTCACTGATTTCTGTATTCTTGGCTAGTTGGTTTGTTTCTGAATAAATATAAAGTTTAAAGTATTCTGAAATCTAAAACATGCTATTTGTGGTTGAAGTTTTGGTTTAAAATGTTTTTGATACATTAAAAAGGTCTGTTAAAATGATTATGTTTTAAAAATAAGAGTGTGTTATATTGAGAAGAGCACTAGACTTCATCAGAAAAAGTATATTTTTGCTCTGATACTACTAGCAAGTAATTTAATAACATTGGGCAGGTCTGTTAAATTCTCTGGAACTCAGTTTAATTATTTGCAAAATGTGGAGTTTTAATTATATAGTATCTAAATATCCCTTCTAGCTTTAAAATATGTTAATTTTTACTTAGCTTATATGTAATGTTATTCACCCTTCTCTTTAGAATTTTTGACAAAGATGAACATGTACTTGTATTGAATAAAGCCCCTCAAAGCAGTCAATTATTTCTTCCTTATGAATCTCAGAAATTCGTAAGACCAATAAAGATGCATTCTTCAGAATCAAGAGTTACAGGTACAGTATCTGTTTATTATTCAGAAACTACATTTTCTTTGCAAACACACAGAAGAAGAAATAGAAAAACAATTTTATCAATTTGTATAAGCAAAGACAAACAATACTGGAGACCTATAGATTCAGGAAAGTACCACTTTGAATCTTTCTGAGAGCAAAGTATGTCTTCTATATCTAACTTTTTTTCTCTTTGAGAAAGAAATCATTCACACAATATATTTCAAAATATCTGGTCTGGTTGCATAGCTGTAAGGGGAGAATAAGTAATTATATATTAAATATTTTTCATCTGAGGAGTTGTATTATCAATATGTGTGATTTAAGCAGGTAGCAGACTAGTGTTAATAGTATCTGTAACTTGGTCACTGAGATATTTGAATTATGTCCATTTGTGGATCTCCAGATTAGATGAATTATATTGTGTTAGATTAACTACACTGGCTAGTTTCTTTTTCCCCTGTCATTGATATTACCACTCTGTCTTCTTTGGTCACCCATTATAAAAGTGAAGTTTTGTCAGTTAGCCATTTTGTCATTTCACATTCATAGTTGTTGTAATAACTATTATATAATAAGGAATTAAGAGTTTTAAAATAATTTCATAATTCCATATTTTAACTTAAATATTCGTGTAGATCTTGATTTTCTAAATTATAAGGTTAGGTTAAATGTTGGGGATGATATTTGATTCTGTCTCTAGAATTGATTTGAAGTAGTACTATTTAATAATCTAGATAAAAAAGAAGAAAGTTCTATGAAGCAGTCAAAGCTTGATATTATTGACTTCAGACAAAAAGAAAATGACACACAGGTAAGTATTTCTTTTTTGATAGTATAAATTAAATGCTTGCATTAAATAAGGCATGCACTGCAGTTAGGACACTGTATGTGTGTATGTGTTATAAATATGTTAAATCAGCCATCAGTATAATCTCTAAAAAGGATAAGGTCTAAAAAATTTAAAAGAGTTTCAATGTGGCGTTCTGCATAAATACTGCAACCTGCTCCCTTGCCCCTAAAAACTAAAAAAGATATTTAAATATGCCAAGACCTATAATTAGTAGACCAAAAACTGTGAAAAATCTCTGAAATAGGAAAACAGGGTTGAGTTGAAGAGAGAAATTGTAGCCTGGGACATGTGCAGGAGAATACTGTATGTTCCACAAGATAAATCCCTGGGGACAATGAATAGGGTAATTGGTTGAGTTACCTCAGTAGGAGTTAGTTTAGTTAACCCCTGTTCATCCCATATTCACTGTACCCTTGGCCAGGCATCAGCAATGGAATGACTGTTTCTCAGTGGAAGCAGCAGTGAGTATGGGAGCTTTGGTGAGAGAGACAGGCAGATACCTTGGGTGGTTCTTGATGCCCATGAAGAACAAGGAACATACAACCCAGAAAGCTAACTGCTGATGTCACACATCTTTGTCTTCCCCCATTCTTCCTAAAAATAGTCCAGTGGGAAATCCTCAATGAAAAACATAATTGTTCTTCCATTAATTCATAGTTAATACCCTACACAGATATAGGGTAGTGGTGATCAAAGTAATTAGTGAAACTTGTTAAGTTTAAATATGTATTAA